TTCCCAGATCCTCTTTTGTTACCAGTTCAGGGAGTCCAGGTGTTTGAATATCAGATTGTTCCATCTCGTTTCCCTTTGGGGTTGCTGTAGGTGATCCAGAAGTCTGTTTTTGAGGCTTGTTTATGTGTCTTCTCATTTCCACGGGGTGGGGGCATGCTTCTGGCACCCACGTGGCTCAGCTTCTCTGCCCTAGGAGCTTGGGATGAGGGGCGGGGGACCTTCCTTCCAGGTCTAGTGCTAGGTTTTGTTCTGTAACACCTGGGATGCTGAGGCAGGAGGATCACCGAGAATTCAAGGCCAGCCTGGGCTACATAGTAAGGCCTGTTGGAAAAGGACAGAGACAGAGAGACACACATCAAGAGCCACGGGAAAGTTGGGACTCTTGTGGGGCAGGTGCACTTCCTTTTCACCATCCCAGTCCCAGGCTTCCGACTGCACAGGATGGCGCTGGCTGGGCGTCCATAACTTTAGTTTTGATACTCATTTAACTGGTCTTTTTTTGCCTTCTATCCTCAGCCAGTTCCACTACAGCTTGAGGAACATTCTAAAACACTTTCCTTTTGGAACACTCCCTTGCTTAAAGTCCTTTATGCATTCCTCCAGGATTCAATCTCCTTGGCTTGGTCTATACAGTCCTTCAGAATTGAGTCTATGTCCTGCTCTTGTTACACATAGAATCAGTGCTGTATAGTAAACACTCTGCTCTTTGGGCACATCAGAACTTTCTGTGGTTTTGTGATTTTTGCACTTTTTATTTCATCTGGCTTTGCTTGATTTATTCATAAAATTCAATTCAAATATCACCTCTTCTGGAAGTTCTTTCTCTGGATAGGTTACCTATGTCTCCATATCTTTCATTGTGTTCTAGTAGTACTTATAACTCTGCTCACTGACTTGGTCAGTGGGTCTATCTGTCTATCTATCTATTTCGCTAGCTAGCTATCTATCATCTGTCTCTCATCTACATAATTTCCTCTTTCTCAAGTGTTGTATCTTTAAAATATGCCTTTTTAGTGTCTATTACATCTAGTGAGCACTGTTCATCCTGTGTAGATTGTCAGTGTATGAAGTTTTTGATGATGATATTACCAATGATATTTCTTGGCAATAATACTCAAAGTAATGATTTTACATATAGAAATTAGATAGTCACAGACCTGAAATGAGAAAGTAACTAAGAATCTTCCATAATATTTTGTTATTTATTGTTTCTTTAGGAACATTTGCTCCCCCGTCAAGCACCCCTATAGAATTCTGCAGGAATGGTGGAACCTGGGAAAATGGCAGATGCATTTGTACAGAAGAGTGGAAAGGGCTGAGATGCACAATTGGTAAGTTACTTGGGATAATACTGGGCTAGGGCTGGGGGACCCTTGTGTTAATAATAGGAACAGCAGCAAAAATTTTGGAGATTTTAGTTGATAATTATAAGAATAATGGTCATATTGGTTATGGCTTTAAGATGTATTTATTAGCTCAACAGTTAAAACCAAGTTTTCCACTAGGGCTATTTACCTGTATAATAAAAATTCATTGTGCTTTCCAACTGTTGAATTTCTCTATAACTCACAGTTCTGTTTCTTTCCAGTTCCAATGTCTAATCCAGGGCAAATGGCAATATGGTTCCCTCAGGTTCTTTCAGTGGTTGTTATGCCTTATTACTCTATTTAAATATCACAATTTTATCATATTTAACTTTTCTGAAATTGAGATGCATCTATCAAGTACATATTTATATGAAATTTTTGTCTTTTCTTATTTTACTTGAAGAGTTATTAACTTAGTGGTTTCATTTAAAAAAAAATATTGTCTCAGGATCCAAGTTCAATATTATTTCTTGATCTGAAGTCTGCTTCCGATTACTCTTCACATTTCTTGATGCCATCCAGAGCCCTTCAAGTCCACTCTTATTACTGCTTATATTCTATCAACCAGTACATCCACATCCCCTATGATTTTGTCCTCTTTGCTTTGACTCACATCCTCAAGGTGTCCTTTGCTACTGTAGGCTATATATTTTTACTAGTATATGTTTGTAGTATATAATGATCTCATTCATTGTGGGGAGTTGGTACATGTGCATAAGACATCTTAATTATTTTTGTGTGCTTCCCCTCCTCTCTCTTCCCTATTCCTTCCTTCCATATTTTTAATTTTCAAGATTCTAAATAATCTGATACATTATTTTTGTTGTTGTGTTATACTTGCCTCCCAAGTATATATTGTGTACTTTTAAACTGGAATCGGTCATCTAACATGCTAATTTCTAATGGCAATAACTTAACCAGATAAAAAAATTATTCTATAAACCCTTTAAATTATATGACATAGGTTCTGAACTTCAACTTTTATCTGGTTTCAAATTTGAAAAGAAAAAGTATAATTTATAATGAAAAATATTTTTTCTTTCCACTACAGTTAATTTTTGTGAAAATACTACCTATATGAGTTTTACTTTTGCCAGAATTCCAGTGGGCCGATATGGACCTTCTTTGCAAGCATGTGGCAAGAACACTGTAAATGGTATGTATTTTCCAAAAATATCTCCTTTGCATAGACTAAGGGTGGATATACTAAGTCATAACTAAGTCATCCCTCCAACTAATGTTAGATTCCTTGAAGAGATATCAAAGAAAGTTTTGTGGAAGGGCTTGCATCCCTTTTATGGCTTCAGTATTCAAAGTTTGTTGGTGATACCTCATATAATCCTAATTTTCCTAAAACCTTAATATAGATCAATTGTTTGTGATTTCCTCTTAACCATTACTTAGTTGTCTTATTTTTCCAGTTTACACTGTCTGTTAGAGTTTGACCAGATAACATTTAATCTTTGAGTTATAAAATTTGTCTAATTTTTAAAAATAATCAAGATTATAGACTTATACTATCCATATCCACTTTCAAACATCTTTCCAGGTAGATATGCTCAATCGAGTCTTTTCTGTAATCACTAGTCCTTCATCTCCTCCATGATTTTAGTAATCCATCTTGGCGCATTTCTTAGCTTCATCATACCTTTCTTGAACATGGCAACCTTACTTACATAGAGGTGTTCCAAGAGCAAGTAATATTAGGGAGCAAATAATATTCCAAGAGCAAATAAATTATTAGGGAGCAAATAGTAACTTCTATTTCCTATGTGTCCTTTGCTAACTTATTTTGTTGATAACTTATTTTGTTGCAATGCCACATTATGTAATATCTTTTGATAATAGCCTTTAGAAATTCATAGGTGTATTTTGTAATAGCTAAAGTATACTTTGCCATGTAATTTTCCATAAATGTTCTACTCCTTGATTTCCATTGACTTTCATCTGACCTGTCCTGTAGATAATTCCCTTTTCCTGTAGAACTGGATATCTCAAGAATACAGCTCACTCTACATAATTTACAAAACTGTTTGATAGAACTGCTGTCAGTATTGACTGAGAATTTCATATTTTATTTAGATACTTACTGTTGCATATGTCAAGGGTTCTTTGAAATACTAAATAAATTACATGAATTTCTCTTTGCTATATGCTTCTTTACCTTATTTATTCTAAGTGATTATGTAGATCTGCGTTCCAATTACAGAAAACAAATTGTTTCTCCCCACATATATCATGATTATTCAAGTATTTATGATCCTAGCCTTTGTATAAGTTCTTCCAGACTCTTGATTAAGAATTTAGAAAGTAAATGCAATTGAAGCCTCACTTTTACCTGCTCAGATCTTCTATGTAATCATGTCATCTGCAAATAAGGATAATTTAACTTCTTCCTTTTTTATATCTTGGTTCTTATTTCTTTTCCCCATTCCCTGTCCTCCCTTCAACCTCTCCCCCTCCTTATTTACAAAGACTTTGTTTCCATTTTTTTCCTTTTCTCATATTAATTCCATTCCCTTCTTTCCTTTCCCTACCCCTCCAACTTCCCTTTATTCTTCCCCTTTGGAACTATTCTTCCTATTTCACATTATCTATTATACATTTTGATTCTCATTTACACTTTCACAACAGAGAAACTATTTTGTATTTACACATGTGTCCTATTTATTCCATTTGAGAATATGGCCTCAATGTGCATCCATTTAGGTATAAATATCTCTAGTTTATTATTCTTTATGGCTGAGTAGTACTCCATTTATTAAAAAAACCCTTTTATCCAGTCACCAGTTGATGGGCTATTTCTAAGTTTTAGGTGTTACAAACTGTGCTAAAAACATGGGTGCACATATACTGCTGTGGTATGATTCTTTTTTTTTCCTTAAATTATTTTATTAGGATATTTTAGGTATATAATACATTTACATTTATTATTGGGTGCTTGTACCTGTACATGATGTATCTGGGTTCTTATTTTTTTCCCCATTACCTGTGGTCCCTTCACCTCCTCCACCCTTCCCTATTTACATAGACTTTGTTTCTATTTTTTTCTTTTCTCTGATTCTTTTAATTCTTTTGGGAAGATACCCAGCAGTGGAATAGCTGAGTCAAAAGAGACCTCTATTCCTAGTTTTTTGAGGTATCTCCATACTGATTTCCATAGTGGTTGCACCAGTCTAGATGCCCACCAACAATGGAGAAGGGTTCCTTTTTCCACCACAACCCTGCCAGCATTTGTAATTGGTTGATTTCTTGATAGCAGCCATTTTTTCTGAAGTAAGGTAGAATAGAATCAGCATCAATAATAGCATCATACACAGCCACCCCCTGCAGTCTACTGCACCTTTATTGAGGTGACTCTAATCTCCCAGTGGTCTTCAATTCTCAACAAGCCTTGGAGATGCCTTCTTTCTGCTGCTCACCACTGAGGCAAATCCTGGGCTCAGAATGATGCCCTTCTGGATCCCCTCCCTGTGCTGCTGCCTTGGCAGGCCTCTAGTTGGGGCCTGTGTGCCCTTATGAATGGTATCTGGATGAGCCTCTGGCTGGGACCTGTTTGCCCAAGCAGCTGTTGTCCTGGTGAGCCTCTGGCTGGGGCCTGCGCACCTGTGCCTATTCACAGGCAGGCCTCTGATGCAACTTCTTCCTTTCTTATCTTTATTCCTTTTGTTTCTTTTTCTTCTCTAATTGCTCTAGGTAATGTTTCTAGGACAATGTTGAACAGGAGTAGTGATAATAGACAGCCTTATCTTGTTCCTGATTTTAGTGTGAAAACTTTGTTTTTGACCATTTAGTCACATGTCTAGGGGTATGAGTGCTGGCTGTTGTCCACGTGGCCTCATGTCCACATGGCCTCTCATAAAGTAGATTATACTGAGTTCCTCATATGACAGTCTCAGGACAGCATTCTTTAATCTTCTTGAGGCCTAGTCTTTGGAAATAACACATTTTTACCCCATTCTGTTGGGCAAAGCAAGTCACAGGTCGGTCCTATTCAAAAAGTAGAAGAACAGACTCTACCTCTCAATGGGAGGAGAAGCAGAGCCATATTGGGATAGATGTGAACACATTCAGTAGTTGTGGTGTCTATCTTTGTTGATCTTGTCTTTCTTTTGTTTTTATTAAAGCTGGCAGTCCAATAGCAATTGGGCTGTGCAGTCTGTCTCTATATGGAGAGACAGAACTACAAAATGTGATAATAGGAAGTTGCAATGAAAATCTGGAAACCCTGGAAATGCAGGTGTGTCATGACTCTCAGAAAAATCTTTATTCTTCAGATACTTGATGGTCAAATCAATGTTTTTAAAAGTATCAAATTAGAAATATAAAAACTAGTAACTAAAACTACTTTTATTTTTTAAAAGTTAACATCTGTTAGTGAAAAAAGACAATTTGACATGTTGGTTCAGCAAATTTCAGAAAATTATAATCTATAGCACATTTTAAATGGCTTTATCTTTGTAGAATAGTCAAGTTGTGACTGAAATAGATCCCTGATATTTGAAGAAAAGTATTTGATAGTCTACTGGATTGGAATGTATAGGAAAATAACTAGGACCAAAAATCTTTTGAGACAGGAAATTCCTAACTTTATGCTAGTCTTAGGGCTATATTCATGAGCAGGTGAAATATATCTGACTAGATATTTTTCATAAAGATTACATTATTTTCCTAAGGATGTAGGCAAATGCACATACATGGAAGAGCTAACATCAAAGGCCAAGCAAAGGAAGAAAGAGGAAATGTACCTTTATGTAGGTCTTATGTTTCAGGAATGTTACACACATCTCATTTAATATTTTTATTAAGTTTTTTTTTTTGAGATAGTATTTCATTATGAAGTTCAGGTTGACCTTGAATACACTATGTAACCGAGGATGGCTTCAAACTTGCAGCAGTCCTCCTGCCTCATCCTCCCAAGTGCTGGTATTACAAGCATGAACCACCACACCCAGCCTCATTTGATTCTCATCCAACTTTTTGTGATTTGGATATTATTCCCACACTACAGATAATTATAGCTATTAACACTATTAACACTTGCTATTTGATGAGCATTTACTGAAGGACAAATACTGGTGCTCCTGGTCTTAGGATGGGATCACAACATAATGAACTGATTCTAAATTGAAAATATTGTAAATTGAAAGAGAATTTAACCCAATATCATGGTTTATCAACACAGTATACTGTAGAGTTACCAATGTTTTATCCTCACCACTGTGTGGCTGACTCAGAACTGTGATTTGCTGCCACTTCCCAGCATCACAAGAGAGTAGCACATTGCATAGTGCCAGCCTGAGAAAAGACCTAAATTTAAAATTTAAAGTAGTTTATCCAAAATATATATTGCTTTAATACCATTTATAATGTCAAAAATGTTAAGTTGAACCACCTAAGTTGTGGACTGTTTGTACTGAGCTGAAAAATTTTTTAAAATCACAATTATTACAACATTGTAGATAAGCATTGATGTACCCATTTTATAGATGAGGAAAATATGACTCTGAGAGGTAAAATATTTTGTCCAATGAGAACAGGCCAAAAAGTGATGGAGGTGCTCTTTATTTTAAAATTCACACTGTACAACACTGACAATAAATAGGTGAGGTTAGGGAAGGAAAGGAAATTGAGGTGTACAGGTGGCTATCAATCACGTCACAGACTGGAGGGAAGAGTGAAGATTCTGCAGTCTGCTGAGCCAGTGTTTAACTCTTCACTTTACCACTTCCAAGCTGTGTGAACTTTGGGTAAGCTCCTTAACATTTTTCTGCTTTAAGTGGAGGGAAAGGAGCTAAACTCTCAATGTTGTTTTTTCTTCTGTATGATAGCACCTATAAATCATCTAGCAAAGTGGCTAGCATATAGCAGGGACCTAGCTATTAGATGACACACTTGTTTCTGTCTACTGATTGAATATTGTTTCTGACTCTTCCCTAAGGGTGAATAGCCCATAATATTTACTTGAATTTTGAAATGATGCTGCCATCCAGTGTAAAACTTAACTCCCACACTAATTCCTAGCAGTGCTCACAGTATGGATTAGCATGTTTCAGACTCACAACACAATACCCCAGGGCCAACTGGTATCTTGAGAAGTTGTCTCCAAACTTTCTGTGATGGAAAACTAAGTTTAAAAAAGTTCCAACCCATTGCAGACCAATAATTTTGTAAAATATAATGAAATAAATTATTAGAAAAATGAAATAAAAGTTACATGAAATGCAAACCCAATTTTATAATTATTTATTAATGATTTTATTACCAGCAGTATAAGGTTGATATATAAGTTTCTGATCACTTACTCTCACTTTCTGTGCTAATCTCCCTATGGACTTTTTAACAGTCAATGAACCAGCAATGGTCCTTGTTTACACTTTGTGTAGTTCTGACCTTACTAAGCAGCTCATTTAAATTAATTAATCCTGGAACATAGTAAAGGCTGAGAAAACCACTGGCCTGCATGTACTATGTCCTTTTTACAAGGAAAAAACTCAACATGAAAAACTTGGTGGATGTGATGTTCAAGAGGTTAAGGCTCAGCTAAATTTCAGCTTATGTAGCTGCATTTGCTGGCAAAATACTTAGACACAGTTTTATAATATTAGGGTTTTTTTTAACTTTTTAAACAGATAGACAATATTTCAACAATATCTACGAATATTTCCACTGAAGCCAAGATTTTAACATCTGATGCCAATAAATTAACTCCTGAGAATATCACTTCTGCTACTAAGGTGGTTGGACAGATCTTCAATATATCCAGAAATGCTGACTCTGAGGTAAAACTCAAAACTCTAAAACAATCAAGAGAAAGAAAGACACAGCCAAATTCCAAATTCTATTCTGTATAGCATGATGTGCTTTTTGAATGGTTTAGGTTGCTTAGATCCATTTTGTAGAAGATTCTTTCTGAGTGATGATGCTTAAAGAAGTTAAAAAAAAAGACCTCTTCTTTTGGGATAGTCACAATGATCATTATTATGTTACATCTTTCAGAGAGTCCTGAAAGGAAGAAGTTTCTTATTTTATTAATGTATTTAGCACCAATATTCCTGTTGTATTTGACCCCAACATTTCACCCCAATATCCCTGTTCAATTTCAAGTAAATAGTATTCCGAAGAACTCACTATAGAATGTGCTACTGTGATTCTCTTGTGTTAAGCATATTTGCATTTTGGTCTTGACTTACTGAAAACATTAAACCTGGTTTACATTATATCATAGGGCTATACTCTAGCAATATGTAGCTCAATGTCTGCCCACTGAATATCAGCACATTTCTTTCTTCTATTTCTTTTAAGTACCTTATTACAAAAAATGTTCTATATTACCATAAGTCCTTTGGAAAGTAGGTGGAATTGAAGTCATGAGTTAACAAAATGGAATTAAAAAAAAGAATATTGACCACTCAATGTAGAATTTATATCAAGATTAACCAGTAAAGACAGGCAATTAAATAATAATCAAATACCAAGAGATTATTTTTATGATTTAATCCTGTTTGTGAGTGTAAGAAAACTACAAAAACTTTTACTAAATCAACCAGTTCTATAACTAAGAATATATAGCTATACTCTAGTAGCTGAGTAATATGGGATCTATCATTTAACAATCAGAGCCCAGCCATTGTTCTTATTTTGTTTCTGCTTCTGCACCTTTGTGTTTTTAGGGGCAGGATGGAATTCTGTGAAATACCTTGTAACGAGTTCAAATTCGAATCCTAAGCCCCTTAATTTATTACTTTAATTTTTATTTTCACTTTTCCTTGTCTTGATTTTTTCTGCCATCTTTGACAAATCAAAATTTAAGCCTTTAATTTTGAAAAATCTTTACTTCTGGAATATCATACCAATGAAATATCTTGCTACCATAGTAATTCACCAAGTTGGTGATAATGATAATGTATGATGTGTCTTTTCTGAGCTGATCAGTGACTTCTCCTTGGCAGGCAAAAAAAGTTGCTGTAACAACAGTGAGTCAACTTCTTGATGCCAGTGAAAATGTTTTTCAAAGAGCTGCTGCTACTGATAATGATGATACTTTTGGAATGTAAGCACAATTTCAATTTGGAAAGAAAATTTGACAAAGTCTTTTTTACTTTTTTAGGTTAAAGCATTAACAGAAGTGTCTATTTCCTTTATGAATGCAGTAGCTGGGTGATGCCTCTGGAATGCCAACAGAATCCTAAACTTTCCACTTGGACATGTTACTATGTTTCCTTCTAGCTCCAGGGGTAGTCATGGTTTGAGATATAAAGAATATTTGAGATGATTTAGTTTATAACTTAATTCCCCTAGCCTTAGTTTGGCCAGGTCAAGGGGCAGCAGTAGCTCCTCCAACTCTATTCTCAATTTGCACAACTTCAGATAACAGCCACCTTTTCAGGATACATTGCCAGCCCCAATCCATACCTCAGCTCTCTCTTCCCAAGACTCTGATGCTTTTTAATTAAACTTTCTTTTGTTTTCCCAAGGATATATTCAGAAAGAAAATTAGTTCAACTCTGTTTTCTCTCTTCTTGACTCTTTATGTTCCAGATTACTTTTGGTTATATATTACTTTTGGTTATATATATTATGTTCTAGATTACTTTTGGTTATATATTTTTTTGGTTATATATATTGTACTAAAGCTCATGTAGGTTATCCATGGGGAGAGGGCCCTCATTTGGATTTACTGTGTTTTAAAATCTTTGTACATTATATACTCATTGTAGCAAAATAAGAAAATATATTAATGAGTAAATTTTTAAAAAATTACTCCATCTTTATTAACCTGTAGTATATATAATCCAGATATTCCCCCATATATAATTTTTACACTACACTGATTTATACTACCCTTTGCACATAAACTTTTGTTAAAAATATAAATACCTATACATCAACCTCTTAATTTTATATTACTGGATTTAATGAGTAAACTATCTAGGCAATGGCCATTTAGAATGTTTCCAGTCTTTTAATGTTATAAAAAATCAACATTCTTGTTAGTAATCATAGTGTATATGCCTGTTATTTCCTTAGGAGACATTACTGCACATAGTTTTCAGTTGTGTGATGATTATAACCTACATCTTTTTAGTGTTGAGCCCTCAGGGTAGAAAAAGCATGAAATAGAATATTCAGAATATTATAATTCTGACAGATGGTGGTAGAATTTGTATAAAGTTTTACCAGTATACTTTGTGACTTCAGTAGGCGTCTGGGTCACTTTCAACGTAGGAAATGGTGCATTTGTACTGAACATGTATGGACTTTATTCTTGTCATTATTTCCTAAAAAATACAGTATAACTACTATTTACATAACACTTACATTGTATTAGGTTTTATAAGCAATGTAGAGATGATTTAAAGCATATGAGATGTTTGTAGATTATATGAAAATACCACATCATTTTATACATAAGAGACTGAACACTGGCAAATTTGAGCATCCATTTGGGGTTGTCCTGAAACCAATTTCTTATGGAAAATGAAAACTGATTATATTCTTGACGAGTTGCCAGCAGAGATCACTGCTTACTCTCCTCTCTCTAAGGGAAGGAAATGAATTGTTGCTCAGGTCTAGGTGGATGGTCTCTTGACAAGTACCAGGTCTTCATCATCCATTTTAATTTAACTTCTGCTTTATTGCAATCACAGTTTCCTATATATGTCTTTCAGCCACTGAATTCCCTGTGTAGTCCACTTATTTATTAAGATAAATGCGAATAAGAAAAGTAAAAGAAGAGTAACAGAGGGGAAAGACTCCAGCCTGGTGTTAGCCATGTCAAGTTTTCATAGTAAAGTTATCTATCATATATTCTCTTTTTCTAAATAGGAAGGAGGCAGATATTAGAGCTCTGGAGATCTGGCTGAGATTTCTGCTGCTTGGGATTCCACAGTATAATCAATGAGTTTAGGACCTCCTTTCTCCACTTTGTACACTGATTGCAAAGGTTGTTTATAATCTTGGAACTTTTTTGTCATATTGAAAGGTCACAATTTCCCTTGTTTGCCTAATTTGGGGAATGGAACTGTCTCCAAAGACTAACTATTTTGTACATTTGCACTTTCTTTTACGTTTGTATTTGTTCCGCTAGTCTTCTTTAGTGACCCACTGAAATTATCTTGACTAAATGGAGATTTATTATAAAGAGGCACATGGGAACACAAACATAGGATCTTAGAAGAAGAGGTCCCTATAAACCCTGGAGTAGGGAGATGGTTGAAAGGCAGCTTTATAGTTTTCAGTAGAGAAGTTTGTAGGTTTTCCTTCATTTGTAGTAGGAATCAATATCTTCATTTTTCATTTATATTTGTCTTTACAATGATATAGTGATCTATTTTGTTATTTTTGTATCATCTCTTTCCTGATATAAATGCTGCACTGACTGGAAAATTCCAAACAAAAGAATTTGATGGCTTTTTTAGTCATTTATATAAGGTTGATGGGCAGCTTTTTGTTTGTTTGATTTTCTTTCTTTCTTTCTTTCTTTTTTTTTTTTTCAATTCTGGGAATTTAATCCAAGTACTGGGGATTTAATACAATGGTCAGCTTCCAGATTATATTAGCTACTCAGGCCACATTTAACCTAACCTGTTAGGACAAGAAAAGGAAAAAAGTCATGTGGGAGAAAAAAGGCTTTAGTAGTAGCTGTGAAAAGCATCCCTTTAAAAGTGTTTGTGAACATGGTAAACACATTCCTAATTTTAGAACACCTTTTCCTTTAGCCTACAAATGCCTGAAGGTGTTACTACAGGATCCTCAGTGTTTCAGTGTTTTTATGTGGTAACTCAACAGATACTGTTCCTCAAATAATGTTCTTAGCAGATTGGAGTTAAGTATTCCTTCTTTTGAAAGCAGCTCTAGGGTATTACTTTTATTCATTAAATGGGGAATGCGTAATGTAGATTGCTGAAAACTCATAAAATGGTATTAAAAAGATATTAATGATATTTAAAACGGAAAGTCATTTGAAAGAGACGTCTAGAAATGTTTCTATAAGATAACAATTTCATTTTTAAAATAAATTGTGCTGTTTAATTTTGATTGTCAACTTGAATGGCTTGAGAGATGCCTATGAGATTAGGAAAGCATATTTCTAGATATGTCTGGGTGTGTCATGAGGGTGTGTGTGACCTTAGGAGCTATAGCTTCCTTTGCCCCTTCCTCTCTGGCTCTTCTCTTGCTTTCTGCTTCTCCTGCCACAAGGTTAACAGCTTTGCTGAACTATGTCCTTCCACCATAATACTTCTACCATGAAGCCAGCCAACCATGGACTGAAACCTTGCTGCGAGAGAAACTAAACCCTCTTCTGTTATGTTATATATGTCAGGTATCTTGTACTAGCAACAAAAGGCTGATTAATAAAAAAGGAGTCCTTAATTATTTAAAAATTTCATTTTTATTAATTTTTTTGAAGAAGAAAAGAATTAAATGACAGAGATTTGGAATACAGAATATTTACATTTTCATAAAATTCTATTTAATTTTTATTATCACTAAAATGATTATCTTAGATATAAAAGTTTTGTTTAGGCAAGTTTAGAAATAGTGCAAATATTTCTACAGAAAACCAAAAAAAGAAAAAAGTCTTAAGAATTTTCTTTTGAGAACACCAAATTGGCAGTTTCCCACCATTCTGTCTAATCTATCTCTTAGCCAGAGTAGAAAAGAACACTATGAAAACCTAAAGTTTTAGTTCACAGCTGAGGAAGTGAGCTCAGAGTTCTGCTCTTCTTTAGCTCCAGTGAATTGTCACCCCAGGAACCAACAACTTAGAAGAAATACTTTGAATCACAAGGAGTTTGAGTGAGAGGAGTAAGTTGAGTAAATGGAAATCAATTTGATCATCACAGAAACAACTAGAAGTGCATGCCCAGTCAATGCTTGGTGGGACCAGTCTCCTTTTATGTGGAAAACACCATAACAAAAAGATTTCTTTTGGAAAATCTATCTTCTTTCATTCTAGCTTTCTGGAATCTATGTACAAGTTACCTTCAATGGAGGCAGTCCACTAGGATTTTTCTTTTTAAGAATGTGTGTGTGTGTATACATATGTCATTTGTTAATATCTGAGTTCTGTCCTCATGGATTTCTACTCTAATGTGAGAGACAACACAAATCTTTGATTTTATGACAAGTTCTCTAGAATATTAAATTGTGTTTTGTTCTACACAGGCTTATTGAACAAGTGGAGACTTATTCCTTATCTTTGGGCAATGACTCAATAGTGGAACCTAATATAGCAATACAATCTGTTAATCTAGAAAACACAATGACATCTACAAGTATTCTCTTCTCTGTACAGAAAGGTGAGCTGTTTGTCTCATGTCCTTGTCATATCAAAGACCATTCTGCTGCCAATCATAAATAATGCTCTATTCATGGAAATGTATGCTTTTGAAATTCTACATTTTTCCTCTTCATAGGAGCAAGTGATTCCCTAGTTCCTGGTTTAACATCTGTAGAAACAAATGTGGACAGACTTCATCCAGATGGACAAACTGAACTTCAGATCTTAGTCAATACCAACACAAGTATGACTCAAACTTTGTTATGTTTTACAAAATGCACCTAAATCATATAATTAATAACTTAAAATCCACCAAAGGAGGAACAATGTTTATTTATTATTAATTTATTATTAGTTTCAAAGCTAATAATTTACTTTGAGTATGTTTGGGCTCTGATATGATAATCTCAATTCTACTATCCTAGGTCATAAAAATGATTTTTCTTTATTTATTTCTTAATTTATTTCTTTTCTTCCTTCATTCTTTTCCTCTTTTCAAAAGCCTTTTGTGGATTGGGAGAGTTGAAATACTCAGGCTACACATACAAATTTGTGTTCCTACAAAAATCTTGCTAAAGGAGTTTTGCTTTATATTTATGAACATTAAAAATATTCAGTCACAAGTTTTCCCCAACTTTCCTGGTAACGTAAAAGTTACAGGCTCAGATTCATCCTACAGACCTACCCTTGGAACAGTTTATGTAACTGGCACAATTGTCATTTAATAGTATCAACTTAGGTTATTTTCTCTATGTCACCTTCTCTGGACTCCCTGTCATCTTGCATGTGATCCTTCAGGAATTCCTGTGTGAAATCTGAAGGAGTTGTATTCAGCAAGTTTTAGAAAAGTGAATAAATTAAAGTATATAATACATATATGCATTTCTTTTCTCCCCAAGTTAAAAAAAAATCTAATGACTCAAATAACATGTTTTAGAAAGAAAAAATTCTAATCTCACTGAAAACTAAAAGAGTAATTGTTCATTAATCTGGCATGCTACAGAATTTTAGACCAATTAGGTTTGGCTACATACCTCAAAAAGGTAGAGACTAAATCTAATTCTTTAAAAATATTTTATACATACAGAAAAGTGCAGGAAAAAAGTCAGCAGAGCCTGTGTACCTGTCTGTGAAGTAAAATATGTCAAAATTTCATGCTAAAGTCAGTCCTCAGTATCCGTTAAAGATTGGCTCCAGAACACCCTGGGAACACCAAGATCCTGGGGTGATCAATTCCCTTATATAAAATGGAATAGTGGGCCAGGGATTTAGCTCGGTGGTTTCACCGCCTGCTGCGCAAGCGCAAGGACCTGAGTTCGATTCCCCGGCACCCCCAAAAAA